CCCAGGGTGTAAATATCTTCATGGATCTCCTTATGGACTCAATGCCCCGGTTAAACCACTTGCTATCTTTCTGGAGACATGCTTGTGACTGTGTCCTGCTTACTTTGGGTGGAGCTTCATGTACACAGAGGTTAAAGGACACTGGGAGCTGATGTCACCAAGAGGAATTCTCTGCCCGGGAGTCTGCCATTTATCACAATATAAAGAATGTGAACAGTGGAACTCAGCCGGCAGATCTGCATTTATTATCAAATGTCTCACAGCATCTTCCATTAGGAGTAGAAATTAAGCCTTTGCCCAGGAGATACATTATCACTGCCAGTGGCCTCCCACATAGTTTTCTAATGGAAGTCATTAGCCATTTGGCCTCCAGAGATAACAGGCCTGCTCTGGCCAGCCTGGATTCTAGCCTGTGAGTCAGCGATGATGACGCTGTGTTTTGTCCTGGGCTCTGGGCCTTCCCCATTCTCTTTCTGGCCAGGACCACTCCAGAAGGCTTGGAAGGGGAGGGGAGACCAAAGAGTCATCCCCAGGAGCCCAGGAAATGGGGCCAGGCTTGCCGAACTCTGCTATGAGCCAGCCATGGGACGGACAGAGATTCAACGACATCATCCTTGCACCAAGAAGCTCCTGGAGCGAAACAACTCAAACGTTCATCAGCTGATGATGGAGAAACAAAATGTGGTCTGTCCATACAGTGGGGTATTATTCACCCATAAAAAGGAGTGAAGTGCTGATGCTCGAACCTGGACACTGAGTGAAAGAAGCTGGACACGAAGGAATGTCTCACTCCCTTTAAGTGAAGCACCCAGAATGGGTAAATCCACAAAGACAGAGAAGAGAATAGTGGCTGCCAGGGGATGGGGGAGCCTCCCCCCACAAAAGCGACTTACATGTCAGAGCAAATGAACAATTTGAAACCAGGCATCAGACAGCCGTGTTCTCAGAAGTCTCTGGCCACCCTGCCATGGTGAACTATTGACTTGTCATCTTTTCTGAAAGTTCCCGGGTCTTACCATATTGCACAGCTCAGGAGTTCAAGACTACCCAGAGCAAGAATAAGACCCCATCTCTACTAAAAATAGAAAAACTAGCCAGGGGTTGTGGTAGGTGCCTGTAGCCCCAGCTAGTCAAGAGGATGGCTTGAGCTCAAGAGTTCGAGGTTGCTGTGAGCTATGACACCATGCAAGGTGACAGAGTGAAAGTGTCTCAAAAAAACAAAAACAAAAACAAAAATGACCCATGCCCTTGGTGTATCCCCAAACCTGACCCAGGTGGCCTATGCCAGGTACAGTATTTTCCTAAAGAAAAAGTTCTTTTCTCACGAAGAACTTTGGTGCTAGCAGTTCAAATGATTTTCTCCCCACCATTAAAGTAGTATAGTCATTTGATCAAATTGAATTAATTATTATTACTATTTTTTTTGGCCAGAGCTGGGTTTGAACCTGCCACCTCCAGTATATGGGGCTGGCACCCTACTCCTTTGAGCCACGGGTGCCGCCCAAATTGAATTAATTTTTTTTTTTTCTAGATAGTTTCA